AGGTCAGGAGGCAGGATTTGAATCCAGGGGGGCTGACTCCAGAGAAGACGTTCTGTCCTTCATCCCAAAGTCCTGGGATTGGTAAACAGTAAGGGAACAGCATGAAGACCCTGCCCAGCAGAAGTCTGCTGGGGCCAGAAGGGCAGAGCTCTTCTAGGGGCCCTACAGACCCCAAATCTAACACCCTCGATACCAGGCCTACCCTCAGCTCCAATCTGACACCTCTTCTTGGCAGGATCATGGCAGGAGACGCAGATCGACTCCGCTACCTGAGCAGGACACGCAGGCGGGTGTCCGTGAATGCCACTCCCGATGCAGAAGCATCGCCATCGGGCACTGGTCTACTCAAGATTACACCCCAGTGCCCCATTGTCCAAGGCAACTGGGATACAACAACAGTGCCCTGTCCGTGTGCCCCCCTCACCCCTGTCCAGCCTCACATACCACCAGGAGATTTACAGTCAGACCCACAGGTTTTCTAAAACCCAAGAGAGATTAATTCACACACACACACACACACACACACACACACTCACATACACACACACACACACACTCACATACACACACACACACACACTCCTCCAGGAGCAGCCCCATAATTTTATCTCTGAGTAACACAACAGGCCACCAAGATGGGCCCTGCAGTTTATTACATTGTCACTGGGGCCAAGAAAAGGAATTACAGCCCAGTAATTCAGCTCCCAGGTATCTCTCTACATTTGTTCCATATTTATGAAAGGGGCCAGATGGAGAAGGCTGATGTGCCGCTCACAGAGAATCATTCCAGGTTGTGTGCATAAATCTCCACCCCGTCCGGCCTTCAGCCAAACCAGCTCATCTCTGGTCGGGCCAGACATCCGGGGGAGGCGAGTGAGGGCAGGGGAGAGCATTCCAGCTCACGCCAGGATGCCCAGAAACCCTCCGCTTCCCTCCTTCCTGATTTAGGGGAGAGCAGAGGCATGACCTGTAATTTCTCAACATGAGCTAGGCTCCACCTCCCAATCCCTAGGCCCCTGAGATGCTTCAGAGAAAATCAGGTTGGGGGAAAAAAAAAAGAGGTAATGCACAGCAAAGCCCTGCTACTTTCCTGCTTGGCCTCGGGAAGGAGGACGTGGGCCAGGATGAATGGTACAACCAAGCAGATCTCAGCTCCACCAGTAGGAAACATGGGCTGATTAAGAGGGCCCGGGTTCTCCCTGTCCCTGCAGGCCTTCAGGAAAAGTCAAGATGACCCATTTCGGGGGATGTGGCACAGGGCTTCTTGGTGACTGATACTGGTTGGACTAGAAGATCTTCGAGGTACCCCGGGCCCCAAGAAGTGGACAGGGAGCGGACAGTGACCTGAGTGAGTCTGAAGGCTCCAACCAGGTGGAACAGGCATGTTTTCTCTTGCTTTGTATCCCCAACAACTTAGCACAGTGCCTGGCACATTGTAAGGGCCTAATAAATGCTCATGATTTGACTGTGCCCTTACTACATTTTAAGGACGAGGAACCTAGGGCCAAGGGAGGAGGTTAAGTGACTGGCCCTTGGTCACAAAGAGCCAGGATTCCCCCTGGGGCCCCTGAGTCCTACCTTGGGCTCCTGCCTGGGGGGTTCTGCGTCCCCCAGTTTTGCCTCCCTCCACACAAACCCGACAAAGGGGAAGGGGCCGAGGGTGAGGAGAAACGGGAAGAGAACAGAGTGGGCAGCCAGCTCTCCAGCACCAGCCACCTAATTGCATCCACCGTGGGGAGCCACGGCCGCCCACGAGCGACCCCCCCACAGCCCTGCCTCCCCAGCTAACGAACAAAGGCTTTGGATCCTTCTCTCCTTCTAATGGTGAGCAGGCTCCATTTTTCGCTGCTGGAAGGCATCGGACAATAAGAAAGGAGATTAATGGTTGCAAAGTGTAGGCCCTCAGGCTTCACAAAGACTTAATTCTTTAATCTGGCTTCACAGGAGCAGAGCTGACTCATATTTTAAATCACAGAGACCCGCTTGCGGGGCCACTGCAAGGGGGGTGTGCTCTCCCCTCATTCCAACCCCAACCCTCGGCTTCCTTTCTGCCCCCCAGGCTGGCTGGACGTGGAGGCGGGGTCAGTGAAGGCCAGGAGGGGGGTCACCCAGGACCACAGTGGACAGAGGCTCACACTTGGGAGTCAAGAAGACCAGCGTTCAAATCCTGTCTCAGACATTTACTGTCACCCTGGGCAAGTCACTTATTTCTTTGTGCCTCAATTTCTCCATCTGTAAAATGTGGGGTTGAAATATAGACCCCCTGGCCTCTAAAGCTCCCCCCAGCTCTGCATCGGGGGTCTTCTGTATGAGCCTCTCTGGATGAGACTGGGCAAACCACGCCACCCCCTACTCACATTTTCTACTCTGTAAAAGGAAGGGGGTGGCCCTGAAGAGAACCCTCCCAGCTCCAACCCTAGGATATCCATCCTAAGAATGGTTCCCAGTAAGACCCACGGCTGTGACCTTTCTATGCGTCTCAAGTGCAGAGCACACTGCAGAGCACACAGTAGGCACCACTGTATAAATACTCATTCCTTTCTCTTCCCCTGGCACTTAAGAGGTGCTTAATAAATGTTTGCTGACTGACTGCCAGACTGAAATTCAATAGCACCAGGGTTAGGGACAAGGAAGGTGGCCTCTCTGAGTCAGTGTTCTCATTCTTTTCATGGTAGGAAGGCAGGGAGGGAGGGAGGGAGAAAGGAA